AAATATTTTCTTCAAATTTGAAAGGAACCAATATTGAGGTACCTCCTTTCCAACAAAAAGGAATCTTCGAAATCGGTTCACAAATGCCTGATAAATCGCACAACATTCAAAAAATACATACAAAAAAAAAGAAAACATACAGTCGAATTGCGAACCTCTTCCTTTTTTTTTGAAGTCGGTTAAAAATACTAGTACGAATGACAGTTGTCTTTTATTACGGATAAATCACTCACCAGCTTCGAAATTTAAACTAATTGTACGTAGTGTTTTGTCTACATCGAAGTCAGCATGAATAAATCTATAGTCTGACCTTAATTTGAACCAATAAACTCAAACACGGTATCATGTAATTAAATTCTCCAAAACCGTTTGATAATATTAAAATTGATTTTCGTGAATTTCGTTTATTATTGTGCTTATTTATTATTTGTTGAACTCAAGCACTACGAATATATTTATAATAATTCTCGTATAGTACAGGGTGTCTAAAATGCACCAAGTGTAAAAAAGATCTGTTTCTTCTTGATATAGTATCGATGGCATACACTATTATATATTATATTATTGCGACTCAGAACTTAGCCACGCTAATCAAGCCACGAGGAGCCGCCATACTGAACATGTTTGCCATTATGGTGAAAGGATGTGCCAATAAACTGCCTCCGTGGCCGAACGGTTACCATACCGGACTGCCACGCAGAGGTCCCCGGGTTCGATTCCCGGGCCGGGAGAAAATTATTTGTATGGCCTACATTTATTTCTCTCGTGAGTTTGGGTGTAATTTGTGGTTGTCTATGTGTGTGTCCATGGCACCCGCGACACAGGGTTTCCCTAGTGCGGGGCTATGTTGAGTGTGTGCGTTATTATTATTATTATTAATCAGCGATTTTAGTAGCAGTAGAGCTACTTGTGAAAGAGTTCGTCCAGGGAAGTGCTGCCACTTTACCTATTTCTGCCGCCAAGCAGTAATGACAGCATTACTGTGTTCCGACTTTGAAGGGCAAGGGTGCTGGTGAAATTACGGGCACATGGGACTTGTCAACTTATGTTTCAGGGTGACGGGCACAGTGGCAGTGCCTCTCAGATCTTTGCGATTTAAAGCTCTGAGTGGCACTGCAACTGTTATGGATAGACGTGTAGGTTACCATCAGGCGCACGACTTGTTCGTTCCGACACTTGATATTATGAAAAAATAAAATCAATCTCGCCGATTGCTGTCCAGGCTGCGCTAGACGTACTGTTATAATAAAAGTCACTTTCACAGCATTTATCAATATAATCCGTAATAGATGGGTAACGAAACATGGCCGCCCCATGCTCGCGCGCTGTCCGATCTCCACAGACTAAAAAACAATATGCGTTCGATCTCTAAAAACGACGAGAATTTTCAGCATGGCCGAACCAAAAACCCCAGTTCCCACTTTTCTCATTACAATTCTCTATTTTTTTTTTTATTATTGAACCTGACACTAGGAATACTATTCGTACGTCATTGGCGGGAAGGCTCCTTTCTTGCACAAAAATTACAATTAACAATCTATGATACCACTCGGAACACCCAAAACTAGAGACAATTTAAAAGAAATCTTTACTTCATTCTACCAGAAATCGGGCTTGATAATATCCTATGTAGTACTTAAACACTGATCAAGTGGGAAAATTATAGAAATCTATAATAATAATGAAATAATCTACTTTTTATTTTTAGTAGCAATAGAGCTTCTTGTAAAAGAGTTCGTCCAGTTATGTACTGCCACCAGTGCCACCTTACCTGTTTTTGCCGCCAAGCAACAATGTTAGTATTCCGGTGATTTGATTTTGAAAGGTGCTGGTGTAATTACAGGCACATGGGACTTTCAACTTACGTTTCAAGGTGACGGGCGCAGTGGCAGTGCCCCTCAGATCTTTGCGATTTAAAGCTCTGAACAGCACTAGCGTAGCAAGGGTTTCAGGCACGAGACTCAAAACCACTTTGCTGCCGAGCGAAATACACAACTTTTCACCACACTATAGCGAGGAAATCAGTTCAACGAAAAACAATTGAACTATAACAAATTAGTTATCGTTGTCAATTTAATGCCAATATTAATAAGACTAAAAGCAACAATAAAAAAACAACGGATTTCAATTACATTCATCGTCAAGTTCGAATTTCAAAAACCTTTTCCACGCTAACGCCTTTAAACACCTTTAAACACCTTTGCGCGCAGATTTCTAATGAGAAAGAAAGCCTTTCCGAGTTAGTGAGGTGAAAAAGTACTTTAAGACAACATGGTGATGATTAACGTAATATTCCTCTTATTTTCCATAGAATGCGAAGATTCATCATGGATAATGAACAACTCTACTATAATGACATGCATGTTACTGCATACTGAATCTGGCAATTATATTATAAGCTCAGTTTTAGTCGAGTCGAGGCGCAAAATTGAGATTCACAACTGGCCGATCGGAAACTTTTGACAATTCTAATCGGAACAACAGTTGATTTAACTCACACATTAGAAAGATATAGTAGGAATCAGGTTCATCTTCTCGCTCAGAAACCCATCTGATTTCGAGACAAGCGATCGGATCGATTCCGTTTTGAATCAAAAGCAGCAAGATGATTAGAAAAAAAAAGCCGTGGTAGCCTCATGGTTTGATCTGCGAAATTTAATGTGATATGTACCATGAGACTGCACGTCGAAGAAGGTTCACAACGTGTGATGTCTCCAACCTGGTAACCTCCTTGCTCGAGTGACTTGCGCGCCGGTTTTTATGGTGTCACCATCTCTGAGGCCGGGTCAATGAAGAAAACTAACTTTTCTATATTGTCTCGGGTCTGGATGTTTGTGGTGATGTCCTTGTTTCCGATGTCCACAACACAAGTGCTTTATTTACTTTGACAACGTATTTGATATTGTCTAATATTTTATTATATACCCTTGCCTGGGAGGAGACCCGTGTCCGGCAGTAGGACGTGTAAATAAGTTGATGACGATTAACTATGCACAAAAATGTTGTGCGAGCTTATTACAATTGCTGCTTTATAGCATATTCATAAGCTGTTAAAAACCCATCACATCCCAATAAACCTAAAAACAACTTTATCAAAATCATTACACCGAAAGAAAAGAGAATATAACACGAAACGTAAACTCCGAGACAATATAATTTAAGAAGGGAAATCCCTTCAAAATTTCTCAAGCGAGAGTTATAAAGATGATCTCTTCAAACGCTAGTACCCGAGAGACGGGAATATACCTACTGTTAAAATCTCTACGGGTATATGCCACTACTATTTGTTGCTATCAAACGACTTAATATAATATTTTTACTTCTACCTTCTAACGCTTATGAAAATAAGATAATATTATACTTAATCGTGTCTAAAATTAATATATTTTTATACGCTATTATATAAGTTGAAATCAATTATAATGATAATAACCCTATTTTAATGATAAGTATTATAATGATAAGTACCATCCTTAAAACAAAAAAGAATCATCAAAATCAGTTCACAAATGCCGGAGATATAGCGTAACATACATGCAAAAAAGACAATTGAATTGAGAACGTCCTCCTTTTTTGAAATCGGTTAATAACAAATGTTAGACAACATCACATACGTTGCTCCTATCCCAAAGTTAGAACTAAAGTACTTGTGTTATGTGAATCGGAAACAACGATGGTACCACAACTCCCACCAGACCGAAACAAGACCTTAGAGCTGGCGACACCATGAAATCCGATGTGCAAGCCACTGTACCAATGAGGTCGTCAAGGTCTTTTTCCTCTACGTTTAAGAGTAATATTCTTGGCATTTTTGCCCATTTTTTCTGGTTTTCTCACGCGTATTTCCTTATAATTATTTACCTGTACTTCCTTATTATTAATTACCTCATTATTCGCCTGGTCTACGTATTAATATGATTTACTGCGTCTAATGATGGTTTTGATAATAATCTAAATAGATTCCTCACTAATGTCGTTAATATCTGTACAGGATCTCTTTAGTATCTTTACAGGATTTAACTCAGGAGACAATGAAAATCTGTATTCACTGTTTAGAGTATATTGATGAAGGAGGAATGCCTTTCAATTTGAACATTGCCGAATAAGCCATTAAAACAATTGCTCTTTACAAAATGTAGGCGCTATTTTAAAAGAAAGTCTTCGTCTGTGAATAGTTATCTATTCTAAATGTTAGTTTTCATTCCCCGTAGATTTAGGTTTGTATTTTTTTAGGAATATTCTCTATATTAAGGTACTGAATTGTATTTGAGATGTATGTACCATTGAATGTAAACTGTTTTGTACAGGGTCAAGAGCACATCACGCTTGACGCTTAAGATTTAAATCCAACTCTATGCCGCTTACGATAAGACTCGTCCAAAGTACAAAGTATCAAGCTCGATGTGCTCTTGACTGTACATCTATAACAGAAAATACAAAAAAAATACACATCAAGTTCACCATTTGGCGATTCTAAGCGATACTAAATATTCCTATTGATACTAAATATGCCTATTCAGCACTTACAATGCGGCACAACTGGTGTACAAAAGTAGTTCCTGTAAATAGTTGTAGTAGCTACAAAGAAAATACACCGAGACAACGTAAATAAGTAAATGAAACTTTTACAATAACTTAACACCGACAATTATTCTAAGATTTAAACAACTAAATTAAATTAGCACTTCGTATTTAACCAGATTACACTGTCTCTCGCTCTTATTCTCAGAGATCATTGAACACAATCATAGAGAAAGGCTTCTTTTAATAAGCTCCTGGTAAGATTACTGATTTATTTTTCTTTATTGTTTTACTACATTCCAGTTTTATTATCCATCAAAATTTTCTAAACAAATATAAACCAAACCCACCGACTTAAGGAAATATATAAAAACTCATTCATTAATCACAGCAAGAACGTCTATCTCTCTCACTAGCATCTTGGAAACATATAGTAGGGGTTATATTACCCAGAGGCCTTCAGTCTATCCCGTACCGCCGAAGGGGAAATACGCTTTTCTCGTAAAAAAGAGCGGGAAAATTCATTCGCGATCTTTTATTCGAAACTTAAGAACAATGTCGACATTTTTGATAATTTTACGACAATATTCAGGAACGGTATGACTTGAAAATCGTTATTTGCAGTGTTGTGATTTTTTTTTAATTTAGTTTTTTATCGGACACAATGGATTTGAATTTTTGGAACATTTTTCTTCTGCCTTCGTGTTTTATTTGTAAGTATGTCTAAATTGTTTGAAGCATGTACTTTTCACTTTGAATAATATTGATTTCTATATTATTGCAGTTGTACTTAAGATGCGTCTGAAAACATTTAAAACTTACACTAAATTATTGACATGAGGTACATTTTTGCTAAATGTCATATACTTTAGCACTTGAATATATATATTAAACTGATGACTTCAGATACATGAATATTTTTGATAGTTCTGTTGCTAAATTACGACGAAGCAGTAAGTAAGTAAGTAAGTGAATTGTAACTTTTGAAATTAGTAACTTTATTGCTCTCTAAGTTACGACGCGACGTGATGTTGACACTTTGCATAAATTTGAAAAAAAAAATTGAATTTGGAGCGTCATTTAAACGTTAATCCGTTTCTATATTTGCTAAATGATATTTATTTATTTATTTAAATTTTATTGCGCTCTGAAGTACAAATGGCGGACTTAACTCCAAACAGCATTCTCATTGAATATTTCAAATATTTTTTTAAACCGCGACGCAATGTTACAATTTTCCCATCCATCTTCATATAAAAAAAATGTTTCTTTATTTAGGTATAAGCTCATTATAATTTAATATTACATTATACAACTTTTCTATTTAATTTTATTTACACGAAATTATTATTGATGAATTAAAAATTAAATTACATTTAAATTGAATTAATTTCTAATTTCAAAACCGAGTCTTCGCTTAAAAAGTAGCACGTAGTAGCGCATACGTCCATACAAAAATATTAGTCGATTCGCTCACTCTCGCAAGAGAAAAAAGTCTCTTACAGTATTATGGGTAAAAAATACTCTATTCTATTCACATATAGAAAGGCAAGCATGTTTTTATGTAGTTTGTGGTTATAATGATAAAGATAGTGTAAATGCAACATCGTTTTTGATTTCAGTAGTAATTTTTTCAATTATTTATATATCACAATCTTTTTTATCTCAAAAATTTTAAGGACAGTTGCTATAAAATTTCAATAAAAATAATAAAATGTTTTTTTTCTGAGTGGAGTAATTTCACTAAAAATATTAAAATTTTTATTCAATTAAAAATAACATAAATGAAATTATAAATTTGAGGCGTTTTGAATTTAATAATTATACACACGCTATCGCAGATAACTCACGGTAGGAAACATTTTTTTTCTTTTTTTTTAAAGTCTAGGGAAACCCTGTGTCGCGGGTGCCATGGACACACACATAGAGCACCACAAATTACACCCAAACTCAAGAGAGAAATAAATTTTGATTTGTGAGAAAAGTGTACTACTAGTAGGTACTATATGGTTCACTATTTAAAAATTATTTTTGACTTTTACTTCTTCTTCGTTTCGCATCGATAGCATACATTATACGTTGTGGCTTAGAACTCGGCCACTTCTAACTCAAAATAACATAGAAAAAATACATTTTAAGGAAATTTTCCAGTTTCCTAAATAACGGCTGTAAAAACTCCATCTATGCAGCTTTTGAAAAAGCGGTATTGATGGTGTTTTAAATTCTTCATAAAATCATTGATTAAACACTTAATTGTATTATTATACTTTAAGTTATTTACGAAATAAGACTATTTTTTCGGATATAAATCGTGTATATATTTTTTTTCAAACAAACCAACGTTTTGAGCCCTTTACAGGTTGCCGTGACAGTTACCCGTGACCGCGAAATAGCGAACATCTAAGAATTTTCAATTATAATCATTTTAATAATTTCTAAATTTAAAAATTGACTAACTTTGGTTAGTAGTATTATTATTCTTTGAGTTACAATCATTTTTGTAATTTGTAATTGTTTATAAACTGTAGAATTTTAAAGTAAGTTTTCTCCAAAACCACATAAAAACGGCTCTCGAGTAATAGAAATGGAAAATCGGTTATTCCGTAAAAATCACAGCACCGGACACACACACATTATATAACTACAAAATATAATACTTTAAATAACGTTATTCATTATAATATTTAACGAATAAATAAGTAAGCATAAGAAGTGCGCTGCGCTGTAACAGAATGTGTCGTCCACTCAGATTGTTATGGCGTCACTGCAAGTGCTAGGACGCTGATTTTCAGTGAACCCTGTTGCTGAAATCTTGAAGGAGTTTCTGTCCTACGTTTGGAATATTAAAATGCATCACCTCCTTGCACAATGAGAGGGCTTGGGCTTCTGTAGTTCCCACACTGTAGTTCCCACGTGGGCCCAGTGTGGATCGGGGGAACACGGTCGTTACATAAAATCCGAGATCAGAGGTGCAAGCCCGGAATCGAACCCACGACTCTCTGTTTGGAAGGCGGGAGGTCAAACCATTTGGCTAATACGGCACTTGTTAAATTTTACTGTAATTGTCACGTTTGAAAGGATTTTGGAATGCTGTGCAACGTCGACCTCTAATAGAGACGCAATCGATCTCCTACTAGGTTACGACCGGTCATTTTGTGACACTTTCACTACGACTGTACCCAGTCGGTAGTTGTAATTCAGCTCATGACTCGCTAGGAGTTTCTCACTGTGTTCTTTATCATATCTTTTTAACCGAATTCTCGATTCGACTGCATTTTTGTGCGCGATTACTCTGAAATATGTGAACCGATTTCAATAATTCTTTTTTTTGTTAGAAAGGGAGTACCTAAGTAATGGTCACATTTAAATTTGAAGTATATAAATAAGTATTCCGTTTTTCAATTTGTTATTCTTTGCGCAAATTGTATTTTGGTATTTTTTTAAGAAAATGATACAGGGTTAAAGTCCTTGACCGCTAAAGTATAGTTAATGCTGTTCATTTCTAATAAACTAAAAAAATACAATACACTCCTGAAATACATTTTCATGTTGATAGTACCACAGTATCTACCAAAACCAAGGTATCAAGTGGGAATAAAATACTACTATTTATTCTTGTTCCGATGGGAAAAGAAAATAATAAAAAATAAAACGGATCCACAAGGGGATCAGATGAGAATAACTTGTCTCGAAACATTCTCTTAAAATAGGCCAAGCATCATAAAAACAAAGAAAATTCCACAAGAAAGGTCAAGATAATAATATTAAGAACAATTATTATTATCGCAGAAGTCGTTCCTCTTTACGCTTACCGCCTGGTCAATTAGGGGTTCAAACGTGGTATCTAAGCGTGAAATGGAACGTTCTGAAGTGTTATTGTTATGAACCAACGCAAATACAAATAAGTGTTATTAAAGGTTTATAATATTGGTGGTTCTTTTACTGTATAATCCATTAACATTATATATGATATGTAGGTAATTTTGGCGGTAAAAATACACTAACAGATAATGTATACGCGTTATTATTAAAATTTGCACCGTTTCTAGAAACTGGGTGGTAAGTAAGTCGTTACTATCGGTTAATATATTAACAAAAATAAAAGATGTTTTTGTTTTCAGACAACTAAACGGTCCATAGATTAATAATAAAGTTTCCTTTTTGAGAATAAAGATTTTATTTGTTTTGCAAATTATTCGAATATTACAACAGTTACCTATTCTCATTTATAAATTCTCTATTTCTTTATATTATTTATCTCTAATTCTCTATTTTGTGATACCAAGTGCAGGGACGAACAAGTCGTGTGTCTGATTGGAAACGACACGCCTGTCCATAGCAGTTTCAGTGCCACTCAGAGCTTTAAATGGCAAAGATTTGAAGTACATTGCCACTGCGCCCGTCACCCTGAGACGTAAGTTGACAAGTCCCATGTGCCTGTAATTTCACCAGCACCCTTACCCTTCAAAACCGGACCGCAATAATGCTTACATTACTGCTTGACGGCAGAAATAGGTAAGGTGGCAGTACTTCCCTGGATGAACTCTTTCACAAGGAGCTCTACTGCTACTAAAAGTGGTTGTTAATATTTTACAAATGACCCGGTACATATAATTTTATTTCTTTAAAGATAGACGAAACGGAATATTCAGCTCTAATTGGTTATACAAATTTTTTTTTTGTTAAATATTTATAGTCCCCTTGCTGGGCACAAGCTTCCTCCACATAATTCCGAAAAACTAGTAAACCCGCATTCGAACCCGCAACCTTCAGCTTGAGAGGCGGTAGCTCAAACCACGGCTATATTATTTATTAAGTTATATAAAAAAACCTTAGTAACAATAAAGCTACAAAATTCGGAAGTTAACACACATGGTGTACGCAGATGTTTTTTTAATTTTGCAGAAAGCAATTTTATTTTTTACGCAAAAACTTTTGATACAGTTTCAGAGAAAAGAACAATTTTGGAAATAAAAAGAAGTTTAAAAATTTACTGGAGACCCAAATTTATATAGCATGCGTAGACCAGTCGATTATGCAGTGCCGTAGTATATCTTCTTTGATAGAGTGGTCATAGTCATGAACGGTCCATTTCGCACATGCTTGCTTTTGTTAAAACTTTTCTCCGTTTGCTTTTGTTCAAGGATTTCTGGAACATTCGGTATCGAGAAAAGTATATATTCAGAATCCTCCCGAGTCGGTAACACCGCCTCAGATATAAGAATGGTTACACACAGCTACTTTTAACAGTGATAGACACGCGAGTTTGAGAAACGCGCGATTACACCGCGACTAACGATTTATAGGCGGTTGCATCGATGCAGATACGCGTGAGCATCGCGACAAAATAGCGAGGGCGTGTGAATCCTACCATATATACTATGAATAATACCATAAAAACAAACGCTGCTGCAACGAAATCAGTTAGAGGAAGAGGCAAGCGCAGCGGACACCTCTGCGCGCACCAGCACTCCATAATCGTCCATCACGCTGTGCTTACTTATAAATTTGTCACATTTTTTATACAGTGTTGAAATTACGCCATTACAAGGTATATACATGAAGCAGATATGATGACGCGATACTGTATCGCGATCGTATCACTGCTTAATTAGCGCGTGCGTGTAGGTTTAGACAATTAGCACGGAAGAAAAAGCAATAGAAGTGCCTCAAGCCTTGATTACTATCAGGACCGAAGTGCTGCTATCTAGCG